AATAAGACACTGCCATCGATAATGTAAATCAGGCAAAGACCAAATAAAGACAATGAGTCAGACATATATTATTATTATCTACAGCTTTACAGAGTCACAATATTAATCAAATTTCTTTTATGTAATAATCATATAATAGGTACTAGGCTGTGCCACAAGTAAATAACACTGAATACAGGGCAAGGTAAATACTATGTTTAACCAAAGTAAACATGTACTGCAAGCATGCTGTTCCACTAATTAATTTGATACATTTTCTCAAGTGTATATTAATAATCCACAGAATGAATACAAGTACAATATGAATATGAAGATACATCAAGTTTACTTTAGAGACTACTTAGAAAATGTTATGGTAACAATTACTCAGATTCAATTTATATTAAATATTAATGTAAACGAAATGGGTTCTCATAATTGAGACATAATGTACTGAGCTTGTATTGAATGTAACATACAGGTCTCAAACAGACTTACACAAACGGCCTTAATTCAAACATTATTGTGATTCGCTAGGTACTGACAATGGAAAATGACACAGAGATGGCTTTCTGTGATTTCGACACAGAATTCTATGTGACACTGATCATGCTTTATTCGCCCGTTATACTGATTGGAGTTACCGGTAATGTAATCTTCATGGTTGTTATTAAGAAGAACAAACCACTGCAAACAGTCACCAACTACTACATGCTAAACCTGTGTATTGCGGATACTTTTTTTCTGCTGTGTGCACTCTTCTACATGGTGGTTCCAATGGTGGAGTCCATATCTTCAATCATCAAGGAATTTGGAATTTGTTTTTTGTTTCATTTGATTCCACTGACTCTGCAGTACGTTTCCACATTCACGATAGCATTTATAAGTATCGGCCGTTATTATGCCGTATGCAAACCAATGAGAGTGCATCAGATGAACACAAAGAGCCGATGCAAAAAGTTCATCGCTTTAACGTGGGTACTGGCGTTACTTTTTGTTTCTGTGTTCTTTTTTGTTTGTAATTATGAATATGTGAGTGAATGGGCTGTTGTTGTCGGCCTTTCCATACAAATTATCCCATTCCTAGCCGCCATAATAATTGTAACAGTAATGTATCGAAGAATTGTGATCAGAATGAGGAATCGCTCGCAGATGGCAACAAGTGGCACACGAAAGAAAACCGCAAACGATCAGAAGCGACAGATCACAAAAGTCGCCAGAGTGAATACGCTAGTTTTTTTTGTCTGCGTCTTCCCATTTCAGGTGTATCTATGGGTCATCATTTTGGACGTCATAGTACCCGAAACGATACTGACACCTTGCGAGCGAGAGATATTTTTCTACTCTGCAACATTCCCGCTTGTTATCAACTCTGCCATCAACGGATTCATTTATAAGTATTTCAGTTCAACATACAGAGAGACTGTGATGAAAACATGCTATTGTAAAAAAAAGTCAGATGAAACAGAATGGTCTTGCTCTGATGATGAAAGTGACCACTCATTACAAGGAGATGACATTTCTACTATCATCAAGAGATCAGTTGGTACAAGTACGCCTGACAATTGGTAGCATTTTCATTTATCCAACTGCAGTATACAAAGTTTCCCATTTTTAGTGCTACAATTTTTTCCATCAAAATATTAGTGTAACATATTACTTTACTCTAGTTACATTTTTCAATATTTTTTTTGACAACGTTGGACCGATTTGACATAATTATATATTTTCGGAAGGCCTTGATTACAATTTCTAGGGAAAAAACATGAAAAAATTATGTGGGATATACTTTGTGAATAGTGACAATAATGAATTTCTGCATTCATAATCAGAGAATAACCAAGAAAATGTTGTGTCCACTTCAACTGTTTAACGATTCTGGCATTGTTTGCTGGGAGAAAATATTGCTGAATGCCGAGACGATATCGCTCAAATGTTCTCGTCAATAATCATGGTATGTACAATGATGACTGTCTTATGATGCCAATTTTACATGGATTCATGTTTGTCGTCAAATCTGTGAGAATAATGCAAAACTTTGAATCATATTGACAGTGGGTGCAGATAACAGTAATCAGAAAGTTTGTTTCGATTTTGCTTCAATGGTTGGAAACTAATAACACTATATTTATGATAATACTGAACGTTTCACTATTCCGTGGGGGAGGGGGAGTTGTTTAAAATGTTATGCTTGTGATCGAATAATAATTTAAAGTCTTTTCAATTTAGAATGCTTTTAACATAATTCTGTTGCTAGAAAAACACTTATTTGTAAGACTAAAACTAAATCATTTACCACTTTGTGACATTCCTTGGTACGAGATGTTAGTTGAGTATAACTTGGTAGATATCAGTGTACAAAAGAAGTTTTCCAAACTGCAACTGAAACATTGGCATGATGGGTCACTATATATTTCCTTGGCTTGGCGGAATGGTGTTGATAACGATACTTCCAGCACACTCAAATTTGAATATGAACAATGTCTCATATTCAACACCAACATTTTGGGTATGTGGATAAAATTGGAAAACTGAAGTACTAAAAGTACACTGTACACATGCACAATGGCACTCAAATTTCATCTATTTAAAAAAATATTTCACTAAGAATTTATTTGCTCTATTCTCGCTGAATGGATGAAAAAGTGAAAATACATTTTTCAAAATCAGTGAAAATAAATTCTTTAACAAAACAGCAAAGTATTTGACAGTACTATTACTCTAAAAAAAACAAATTTATTTCTGGTCCTGTGATGTTTCTTGTTTATTTTTCTACATTTTTACAGCATTTTGACAGAAGCAAGTAAAAAACCAATCATCAGCGTCCCCAATCATTTGTTCTCATGTACTTATCTATACTCTGTATATTACTTCTTTAAAAGGGGAAAATGCCAGGGGAGAGAGTTTATTGGAAAAATAATAATTCTGAATTTGTCCGTGCTTTAATCACAATGTGTGATGTACGTACAGAAGGGAGTGTTCGAAAAAATTACTGATACAAAGTTCAATAATGTTTGACTATGATTTA